TGGAAAATCCCAGACAACTATAATGCTGGCTGCTCTGCTAACAGCTGTGCTACAAATGCTACTACAACCAGCCTAAAAACATACCTAGCTTTCACATTCTTATAATAATCAATAATCATGAATCAGTGATTTTTTTTAATATAGCTTGAGGGTGAATATTTTATTTATTTGTTTAATTTAATTCAAATTACTGTTCAAATGTTTAATTTCTGCTTCATCCATATGTCAAATAATTTAACTGATATGTAATCAAAACTATGATGTAATCTTTATTTTTTTTAATATATTTTAATAGTACTCTGGGATTTTAAAATGAAGAACTTCTAACAAATTCTAATAATCATTGGCAAATCTTTCTTAAAACTAAATTATATTTTATTTTGAACCAAGAAATTTTCTGTTCTGTCATTATTTCAACTGTATTGCTATTTATAAAATCAATAAAAACATGCAAATAAATATCTGACGCCTATGTCTCTGACTGTTGAACAATCAGAAAGATCAACCATCATATTTTTGAATAGTTTCTGGCTCTGTTGTAAATTCAAAACTTTAAACTCAAGCTTAAGAATGAAAGGTTTAGGGTTCAGAGCATTTTATCTGAGTGTTTTTTAAATGGCGGCCAAAGAATTGATTTGTGAATTCTCTGTTCAGTGAGGCTCAGTTTTTATGTCATGCTTTTCATTCCTTTATTTTTTCATCTAAAAAGGGGGATTGTACGTGATGAGAGAAATTCTGATGCTTGTCGTAGCTGCTTGAATCATTTCTTTGTGTAGAAGCTTATAATAATAATAAAAAAAATCCATTCCAAGCTAAAAATTCAGTAACCCACTTAAAATGCTCTATCAGAAACACTTTTTACAGACATATCAGATATCCTGGCACCATAAGGCTGCACGCACAGGCACACATGGTATCAGAAAATAACAAAGTAAAGTTTCAACCAATTGATGGCTCTAGATGAAAGGTTATCCAAACACAAGAGTGAATACATTTCTTCCTGAGACATCAAATTTAATCTCACATCATCCAAAAGCTTTTTGCATATTTCAATGTGACTCTAGGTTGGGAGACAATCAAAAAAAAAAAACTCTTACGGTATCATAGCAGTGGAAAAGAAAATGCAGCAACCCACTTAAAATGAACTTCAGAAGCATTTAGCAAAGGTGGAGTACATGGGCTATAAAGATTTGACACAAACTTTGCGCTTCTAAAGCACCACCACCTTTGAACTTGAAAACATACAGCTGGTAGAATTAGTTTTTGTAAAAAATGTAAGATTTCAGTGTAAAATAATCACAGATGCTGCACACTCACGGTTCTATCTGTTGTACTGTAAAGTTTCTACTCCCCACAGATTTGTAGTCTAACTCTGCTGCCCCGTTCATGTACACCCAGTGGTTGCATATCATGATTATTAGGGTTTTTTTTCATGCTGAAAAACTCTTTTTTGTTTATTTCTTCTTTGTTCTCATTCCTGCAGGTCATCTCCTCTGTCAGGTTAAGTGTACATTGCAATGTACATCCACTGCAATAAAAAAAATCATAGATTATTAATGTTTCATACCTTAAAATCTCAGTAACCGCATGTCGCGCATGCATGACATGATTCGTTAACTATTTTAAAATGAACTGTAGTCACCTCTGGTTCCTGAAGAGTCATAGCTTTGCCATCAGACAACTGGTTGAAGATTTCTGTGGAGAAAGACATAAATCCTTATAGTTAAGAAAAAGTAGGAGAAGTTTCACAACTTTTTCTGACTTCATCCTTTTGATGTCCCGTCAGTGATGTAATGAGTATTTCTGAGTAATTTCTAATTGTAAAGAAAATAAAGAGAAAAGACAGATATTGCAGATATTCAAATCTAATTCAAGTTCCACAGTTGACAACTTTTAACCTTTGAAGAATATAAAATATGTCTACTGTAATTTTCTTCAGTTTTACTTACGGTACATGCATTCAAAGCGGAGTACTAGACTGATGAAGCTCTCCAGAGTAATGTGCCCAGACGAGGTGCCGTAACGCAGAGCCATCAAATTCAGCATCTCGTCGCTGATCTTCTTTCCTGACCAACATACAGTTCATAAGATGAAGTCAGTGGAGTTTGTATTAGGGCTGCTTGCTACCAGATACAAACAGACACGCTGCTAGACAGGTGGTTTGTGTAGAATATCAAAGCAAGTGCCAATACTTTACAAAAATACTATTTACATAACCTTCAGAACATATTAATACTGAATGTATGATTGCCATTATTGTCTTCATTGTAGAATTTAAGCTGGATCCTGATCTTTTTTCTGCTTTAATGCCTTAGTTTGGTATTTTACTAACCTGAGAAATAATCATTTTGGCCACATAGAGGAAGCAGAGACATGTTGCAAATAAAAAACTTTAATATGACAATTTAATTTGTTGGTAACCAGTCATATAGCCCACTTATTTAGACTCTTTAAGCTTGGTTTTTGGTCTTTACCAGCTTCTGGGTGCCACATAGTGTGAGAGCCACCACTACAGAGAGTGACCAAAAATAAGCAGACAGCTAAACACTGAGCTAAAACCTGATACAGAGCTGCATGAAGGGAGAGATTTAAATAAATGATTGTTAGAGGGACCATTGTTTTCATGTTCATTTTGTTTTTCTAAAAATATTAACTATACCATTGTTTTACATAGAAAATGTAAAAGACTCAATAATCACAGGATAGTTTTGTGTTCCAACAGTATCTTAAAATGGGTTTTAAAATTAAATGTCTACCTGAGGCTATCATAGCATTTCTCAGCTCACTTAGTGACAGCGTCCCTGTTTTCGAAACATCACAGCGGGAGAAAATTTCCTGTGTGAAAAGCACATAATTAGCGATTATAATGTTAGAATATTTATAATAAGACGTTTGCATGGGTTAGAACCAGTGACCTTCTGCCCCTCAGCAGCACCGGGACATTTCCTGGTTTTAGTTTTTCCTTTCCCAAGCAGTCAGCTTGACCACCAATAAAATAACAGAGAAACAGAACAGTGAGGGAGAGATTAGAAACAGACATGCTTAAAAATGAAACAAATCCAGTTCAGTTTGTGAAGTTTTGTTACTTTTGCTCGAAGACTGTATATAAAGTCTTGCTTGAAAATGTAAGATAATCTTTGTTTAATTATTTTTCACATTGTGTGTGTGTGTGTGTGTGTGTGTGTGTGTGTAGGGGTGTATTTGATATTTGAAAATCAATGGTTGACATGTTAAAAGACTTCATAGATAATTGTGTAATAACTACACGTAAATGCATTAGAACATCCGTCATTATGGACTTAAAGTGATTTCTCTTTGTAGCATGATCAACTGTTGAATGAACTCTCTCATTGAGACAATCCTAATATACACAGTGGATTAGTCTACAAAATGAGTAGTCTGGTGGTTTGAGTGCGATAAAGTCAACATCCTGATAATTGTGGCATCCTGAGTATTTTAAGGATCAAAAACAAGCCTCAGAATTCTTGTTGAAGTTTTTTAACGTGTTCGTGTCTCCCCGCCTTCATCCCTTTTTGCTTGTGTTGTGACAATAGTTTATAACATTGCACAGAACAAAAAGCTCATTTTCTCCCACCTGATTTGTTTTTAAGGCGATATTTAGTTTCGCCAGTAGGTGGCAGTGTCGTCTCAGACAAATGAGAGACTGGCAAAATAATCCCATACAAAATAGTGATGGTAAATTTGATTCTTTTTACTGAATCAAGTTTTAATGAGTCACTCACCAAAGTGAGTTATTTCATTCACATAGTTGACCAGAGAGTGCAAAAAATTTACATTTTCACTCAAACTTAATTTGTTTCTCTTTTCATGTAAATCCCACTGCTAAGATGAATGATTCTAAAAAAAAACAACAACTATTTTATAGAGCAAAAAAGAGCAAAAACATTTCTAAAATTAAGCAATTTCCTATCAAAATTGCTTAATAAACATTTTTTTTGTTTATTTGTATTTTATTAGTATTTTCCTTAAATGTGTTAAATATATATTTTCTCATCTAAATGTCCACTGAGCTGTGAGCCAGGGGGCGGTAATGCGCCTTAACATTGGTTGCCAACCAAGAAGAAGAAGCTGTGAGCCAGGAGGGAGGGGGTGAGTGAGTG